GACAGTACACCGGGAGACAATCCCCTACTCTTTTCCGAAGAGTGTACTGTGTTCTTTAACGTGCACATGGGCCATAAATGCACACGGGACCAACTTTAAACGTCTCATCCAAAAGACGGTGCGCTATGTAACTTGTATTTCAGCCCTCTATCTGAAACACAAGGAGAGGCAGCGATGGGAATTGAACCGGGGACCTAGAGATCTCCACGGTTCAGCGCACACACAGTGGCTACCCCCAGATTAGCTGACTGAGCTAAGTTGCTGTTATATTAACAGCAAACAGTCTTTCAGATGAGACATTTTAGCTGTGGGCACATGTGCAATATGATCTATGTGCATGTTACAGAACACAGTAAATTGTCTCCCTGTGATTGTGAAACTGTTCAATTCATCAACAGAAGCCCACAGGAAGAAACATTAAAGGTTATAAGTGTGTTGCCCACCAAAAATATTCCTTTCCAACTATTTTTATGGAAATGCAACATGCATTTTTCGAAATGGAGAGATCAAACAAAATTGACACAAAACTAATTCTTACTTAGGTATTAACCGAACTCCATCTATGTGTTCAACATTTTTACTCCTTCTAGTTGCTACAGGTGGTTTAACGTAAGGAGTAGTTGGTTTCAGTTCTTCCGTCAGATCAGTCTCCACCTCCACAACGATGTTTCGAAGAATTTGAAAAAACTGCCAAAGAGAATAAATGCTTTAATTTTGTGAAAAAAATACATACAATGCATACAAAATACATATGAGCTCAGCAAATAACAATAATAATAATCAATTTATAGAGCGCATATTGAGGCCTCTTATTACCCTCGGTCATTGGATCAAGCACATATGGAACACATACTCAGGTCCCTAGGGGAGAATTCCATAATGTTGCAGCTATAATCAGCACATTTTGTGTTTGAACCTACCAAGTACCCACTTGTACACCTGGGTGGAGAGAGACAAGTAAGTAAAGTGTCTTGCCAAGGATGCAAGTAAAATACACAGCGAGATCGAACCTCAGACCTCAAGGTTGAGAAGCAAAACCTCAAACGCTGTGCCGAAATATACACGGCTGAGTAAACCAAACAGATGTGCTATAAACCTATCAGCTTAACAAAAAGCTAAAGACCCTTTTTATAATGACCGTCAGCTTTACTTTTAAAAATTCAGACGTGTAAACAAATGTTTTGACTTGACCAAATAAGCTGAGTAAAATTTTGATTAAAAATGAACTTACGGTTCTGTCTGGAAGAGCAAAAGCAAGTGCCAGGACGTTCCTGTAATTGTTGACAAACCTTGGTTCACATTGAACTGAAAACTTGACATCGCCATCTAAAAAGAATTATATTTTGAATTTTTGAATAACTATGAATTATTATAAAAAAGGGTAAAGGTAGAAGAATAACTCATAACGAATTTGCAGCTTCATTGTGCTGAATTACATATGGGCGTGGTCCGTGACTACCGACCAACCATAAATAGGCACTTATAGTAACTTCATGTTAACATCATTTCACAGCGATAGGAGCTGAAATGTACTATAACATCGGAGAAACCCCTAATCTTCTAAAAAATGCAATGGGTTTTTAAAGTGCACATTATCCAGATGTGTGCACTGGACCTCCATTTTAAGTCTTTATTTGAGAAGACTTAGTTCTACCAACCAAAACCTGGGCGAGGAGCGGCTTAACAAATATTTTGTTGGCAAAATATTCTGTAAGCAAATTGACCTGTCAGTGAGCAACGCAGTATTCGACTGGTTGTTCTTCATTAAACCACACCTGCTTGCACAGTCGTACAATCCTACTTAATGAAGACGACCAGATGAATAGAAAACTGGTAAATACTCAACAAAATAAAATGGCTGCAGAGTTACCGCGATAAACGCTAGCATAATCTAGGTTATTTTAGCTTGTGATAGTATGGATTTTATGTAAACAATAAATATTTTCATGTAGTTTTTGAATTTTGTTAGCCAACAATTACTTTTTGACTTCATGTGGGTAAATATTTTAATTATTATTTTCTGAATTTATCATCAACTGACTTCACATAAATTTTACATTGTTTGCGTATTGTACAATAACAGCATGCAAAGACCAAATTTGAAAATAATGTTCATATTTTTAACTCAAGCTTTCAGATAAAGAAATGGAAAACTAATTTATAAATAACTTACTTAGTGGAATGAGAACATCTCTTAGGTTTACATTTACATTTAAACTGAATGGAGTCCCTTCCATCATTAACAAACCTAGTAACAATGTGACACAATTTTCATTGCTGTAAATAGAAGGCAACATAACATTGGATATATTAATTTTATATAATTATATACTACTGAATACCATATATTACTTTTATATATTATATACTATTGAATACTATATTATTAAAAAACAGAAAATAATTATGTTGTAAGAAACGAAGGCTAGATTCAGGCATTATCAGGGGTGGATTTAGGGAGGGACACGTGTCTTTGGCTTTGGTACTATTGTCTTTATTTTTAACAGAAAAAAATACTAAATGGCATACAAATACATGGTACAATATTTTGTAAAAGCATACACTGAATACTAATTATACCATTATTTATCTGTATTATTATAGTACATCTAGGCCTACATGTATGTAAAATTTGCACCCTCTTCAATTTAAAAATTCTGGATCCACCCCCGATTACTGGGTAATAACAATATGCTGCTAGTCTGAGACCAATTTGGCAATTTATATCATTCTCTGTAACAGATCCACAACTATTTGTCAAATTATAACCAACAAACAAAATTCAACCATTGTTATCTTTATTTTATCAACCATACTATTTAATTTTAAAGAGGTTTCAGAGAATGCATAAGAATGACACTCAGAAATGGTATTCAATTTTCCATAGCAATTAACACTTCTAATTTCTTTCTATCTCTTGTGATGATCAACTAAATACAATCAGAGCTCGGACATTTTAAGAAACAGGTACAACTCTTGGAACTTCACTTTTAAAACAAAGCAATATGTCCACAAACACAAAAACATAATTAATGCACATGCAAAGATATCTTATAGGTAAGGTAAATAAGTTAAGATTGCAAGTTTCATAAAATAGAATACTGAAATAAAACATTTATATAATCAAAAGAGAACTACACATATTTTCTTCAGGTAATAAAATGGGAATGGTAAAACAGTGCAGTTAATTTAAAATTGCTAAAAATTTATTTATCTATTTGACACTCAACAGTGTTAAAAACACCAAAAACCAGGTTGTGATAAATATATGGTACAAAAATACAGTATAAAAAATAAGCTTAAACATTTTATAATTGAATTAGCATTATATATTATTATGTTGATGTAATAAGATCTGACTACAAAAAAGAACTCTAAAATAGTTATAGAGATATTAATATCTTACCCTTCATTTTGAATGGTTATATTAATTGTTACTGGCTGATCCTTGCTTATATTTGGAACCAAAATATCACTGTGAACATCATGACTGGAAGTCACTTTGATGCCATATTTATCGGCATGCAAAGTTTGTCTAAAAAATGGCAAAAAAAACCCAAATTTTTATTCTTTACCATTGCATTACTACTCTCTGAGCACTAAGAGAGTGAGGGGAGACAAAAAAAAACAAAAAACTCAGGTTAATATTGAGAGTAGCATAGGACATTTCGCTAAATTGGTTGATCCACTGCACATGCACATAAATGTGAAGATCATTTCAGACCATCACTTCTCCGCTGTGTTTCAGCTGCATGGGCAGTGGTTGCAGGTAGTGATTGATTAGGCAGAGGCACATAAACCGATCTTAGTGCTAATGTGGTGCTGATATGTTGACTAGAATGAGAAGATAAAATAGGCCTACAGTATGTCTGTTTCATCACAAATTATTTTCATTCAAACACCTACATTATTTGACGTAGCATCATGGGAATAAATACAAAAATAACAAGTGACTTACCATGAAGTGAAGCAAATTAATTTGAAAACTAGACTCTGTATATTGTGTTTGTTATAATAGGCTTATGAGCATTTTAATTTAGTATCAGCATGTTATCAAAATAATTATTGTTCAATATTGATTTTGAAAGAAAATTCACCTGTTCTAATACAATAAATATTATGTTTGGTCAATAGCAAAAAAGATTAACATGCAGTATGCCTACAGTACAAATGCTATAATAATTAACAACTTATAGGGAACTTTTATTCTTGCAATATGGCCGGTGTCACAGAGCCCCTTTACCCTGACAGGTTGAGACTAGATTTAAGGAGGAGGCCAAATTCCCTCTGACAATGGCAAATTGGACTTTTGAACAAAAATGTAAATGCATTAATGAATGTGGCAAACTACCAACATACCTTTTGCACCTTATGAAATGGAAGATCACTTGACAGCGATGATTCTCTCCACTTAAATGGGAATTAAAGTTACTTTGACTACAAAACACATCACAATAGGTACAGTATAGTGCATTTGGATCGTTTGTCTTTTTTGTGTCTATGCGATTCTTTTCCCGTTCTTTTACATACTGATCAACTGTTAAGTGTCGGTATGGGACAGAGTTTCTAATCAATTGTCCATTTTCAATCCTAATCTTCTTTGACCACCTCAGATCTTTAATGAGCTTCTCAAATCTAAAAGCTAAAAATGAGTAATAAATGTTTGATAAGTGAAATATATTATAATAAATGAAATATTCAAAACTCGGGACAGAAGTTGGTTTGGTCTGGCCAGGGAGTGACCTCCTCTATGGCTGGGGTTATCATCCTCTCATAACATAGACAAACATACCAAAGTTCAAGCCACAGAGAAATCCATAGTGAGCTGGAAGGTAGAATCCTCCTAACATTCCGTAATTCCTCAAACAGAAGCCACATAGGCTTAATCTCGAGAAGAAGTCCATCTCAAAAAGAAGCCCTTCTCTTTAGTTTGCAAAAGTATTCTCAAAAAGAAGCCCATGGGCTTCTAATCAAGATAATATGGGTTTCTTTTAAGACTACTTACATTCAAATTGACATTATTATTATGATATGTGTCAGTACTTTTATAATATTTTATTGTACCACCAGCATGTTTAATTTTAAAAATTTTAAATATAATTTTGAATTCCATAGTGAAACAATGTATAGGCTCAGAAATTCCAAAATTTACAATATTCAATTTGAAAAGAAGTCCCTCTCTTTAGTTTGCAAAAGCCAGTGACTGATCCAGAAATTCAAAATAGAGGGGTCCCAGGGAGGTACTTTCAGAGATGGAGGTTCCATTTGTGATTATGACACCTCTAGATGGCTGGAAATTGCACTTCTAGACTTAAAATTTGAATGTAATTTTCCTTATATCTCCATTTTTAAAACAATTTTGAACAATCTAGGGAGGTGGGCCCTTGAATCCGCCACTGAAAGTCATCTTGAAAAGGAGCCATTTCGAAAAAGTAGCCCATCCAAAGCTCCCTAAAAAAAAAAAAAAAAAAAAAAAAAAAATTCGAAGGACTTCTATTCGAGGTTTTAAGGTAGGACATCTAAAATATATTCTTATACGGACTACAATCAAAATAATATATTTATTTGTATACCGAAACAGACTACCTTTTTTCAATTTTGATAGTAAAACCTCAATGAAGCGAAATCAAGTCCAACTTGGACCGTAAGGATTCTGAAACATAGCATAACATTTCAACAGTGAAAACAACATACATGGTCCCGTAATGCCAAATCCAGAAGCTTCTGAAAAGTCTTCATCGTAGACCGTTCGCAAATCTTCCAGATCCCTGAAGAAAGCGGATTCTCCTCTAGCACTAAGGAAACTAACGAAGCAGTTCCAAGTATCTCTGAGCCTGTTGTTTTTCCGAACACTGTTTCCGCGTCCTTGTGGCATATTGGCTATTGTGGATTCTGAAGAACCAAAATACACTGAATACATTGATATCCATCATATAATAATCAAGTTTCCAGATATCTAATGTGTAATAATAAAAAAAACATTGTGTGCATAAAATGATGTTAGAAAAACACCATGTAAGACCTACACTTAAGTGATATTTATAGTTCTTAGCCATTCCTGATTATTTGTTCGCACATCTCTTAGTGTTTTACAAATATAATTTGTACAAATGGGATGTTTTCCTGGAGGTTCTTGTGGTTGCTGGAGTGGACCATCCCCCGATTTCAACTTGCAGGAGCCTGGACACCTAGCTGTAAGATGGGAGGGGGAGACACAATTACACTTTCAGACTGACAATTAGCACAATTAGTTTATGCTGCCACGATCCTAATTATGAAATCGGTTTATCTGCAAACCCCGATAAAGTTAACGTATTTTGCACCACAGGCAAATTTTTTTTTGCAAAAGCCTATAAACACCATTCCGTGTTTTTGGCAAAGGCCAATATATCCGTTTCTACAAATATACTTTTTCAAAAACCTTATTCTAAAGCAATTGAAATATTATGTCAGCACTGAAGCCTTTTTTAAAGTTTTAGTTCAACAAACTACACCCCCACCTTCCCGGTTAAAGCCATCTATTGCTACCTGCTTTCGTATTTACTTGTTTAGGATATAAGAGAACTTAAATATCATTCTAATAATCATTTAAATCATTCAATTGGTTGTTGCCGCCAAATTGATATAGCCTCGATGATCTATCATGTGATTAGATAAGTCACTGTCAATAAAACAATTCACGGAAGAGGAGTATTCAAAATATTGATAATATTGATAATATTAATATGGGACTAATCAGATGGCTGACACCATTCTCCATCGACAATTTGATTTGATGTGCATTATTTATGTACCTTTCTTATCTATATACACTAAAGAACTTTACACTCACAATTTCATCTGAAAAAAAGTTACCAACAACGACGGCGTGACAGTGTCTCACGGCTGTGGGAAAAACAAATTATCAGCCTGCTGCTCTCTGTTTAACTAGTGATCGTATCTGAACAATAATGATGCATCAACAGGCTGTTTACTTACGTTTACTTTTTAGCTGTTGCTTATCATTTTTGTACCTCTACTGAGATCCAGCCATTGTTTCCCACAGCATTGTTGTTTTTCAGTATTTTGCCTTTTAATCTATATACAGTATATATATATATATATAAATATATATATATATACTGTATATAAAGAGTTCATACGCAAAAACCGATAAACGCCATTTCCGTCAAAAATGAATCAAAATAGCAATTTTTTAGTTTATGCTGCCACGATCCTAATTATGAAATCGGTTTATCTGCAAACCCCGATAAAGTCAACGTATTTTGCACCACAGGCAAATGTTTTTTTGCAAAAGCCTATAAACACCATTCCGTGTTTTTGGCAAAGGCCAATATATCCGTTTCAGCCAATCAGTGTGCAGCTCTGAATTCAGGCGACTAACACTGCTCTCGCACAATGTGACCACTGCGATTTTTTATGACACCTTGAAATCTTGGGATTTTTTGTTAAATTTTCATTAAATCTTGGGATTTTTGGAATGATTTGACATTTTGTATTTTTTCTACCAAGAAGTGAGCAAGGCTGCTACCAGTTGATAATTGTAAATGAGGGCTGTTTATTTGAAGACAAATTAGAACTTTGTAGTTTGAAGGCTGTTGTTTAAAGAAATTTTCAACATTTTCCAATAAACAATACTGTAAGGTGCATTTTAAAGTTAAATCTCTTGAAATGTTGTGTCCAGGCGCGGATCCAGACTTTCACCGTTCGCCATTGAATTTGTTTGACCGGTTTACCATAAACGGATTGGTGACAATTCATTTTCTTCAATTGCTGCCCGACATAGGAATGGTCTGCCTAATTTTCTGGTCCTGAGATTCGCTTAGACAGTTCAAAGTCCATCTAAAACACACCTATTTCAATAGTTTCCTCTCACCTTTTTTAAGATCTTATTTGTTTATTGTTTTGTTCGTTTCTTACTTTCTGTCGAACCTTTTTGCTTTGAGTTACTGCCTTAGTGCATTTGGTTCTGCAAGCTTTACTCATGGGGAATTTGTTTACTTTTATCGATTGGATACATCGCTTTGAAATGTCAGTTTCTTCAGTCAGGCGTATTTACATAGGCTAAATGCCACTACAAATATACTTTTCCAAAAACCTTATTCTAAAGCAATTGAAATATTATGTCAGCACAGAAGTCTTTTTTAAAGTTTTAGTTCAACAAACTACACCCCCACCTTCCCGGTTAAAGCCATCTATTGCTACATGCGTTCGTACTTACTCTTTAGGATAAGAGAACTTAAATATAGAAAAACATTTAAATCATTCAATTGGTTGTTGCCGCCAAATTGATATAGCCTCAATGATCTATCATGTGAATTTGGGCTTTGGGACCCGATTAAAATTGTAATACGCCTACCTACCATTTCAATGGTTACATGTTGAGAATACATACTGGCATATTGTAATACACATTCTCTGTTATACCTCCTTGCTCTCTTGATGTACATTATGAGATACACTGAAAACTACATCGCCAACGAAATGGGTGGGCAGTGGCGGATCCAGGAATTTGAAATAGAGGGGGGCCAAAGACGGATGAAGGGTCGATACTACCTCAGCCCCACCATGCTTGGTCTGAGGTAAGAAAACTTTTGATTATGGCATCTCTAGATAGCCAGAAATGGCATTCTTAGACTTAAATTTGAATAAAAGTTTCTTTTTTTCTCATTTTTTTTTACTTTGGAAAAATTTAGGAGGGGGGGGGGGTTGAACATCCGCCTATGGTGGGTATTCAAACTTTTTCGACATGGTGAACCTATTTCGATTAAAATGTTAAAGTGATTAGATAAGTCACTGTCAATAAAACAATTTGCGGAAGAGGAGTATTCAAAATATTGGTAATATTAATATGGGACTAATCAGATGGCTGACGCCGTTCTCCATCGACAATTGATTTTATGTGCATTATTTGTGTACCTTTCTTATCTATATACACTAAAGAATCTTTACACTCACAATTTCATCTGTAAAAATGTTACCAACAACAACGGAGTGACAGTGTTTCACGGCTGTTGGAAAAACAAATTATCAGCATGCTGCTCTCTGTTTAAATAGTGATCGTATCTGAACAATAATGATGCATCAACAGGCTTTTTCAACTTGTAAAAATTCAGAGCCTTCTTTTGTTTGCCCATAAATCAAATTTGGTGGTATACAGTGGTATACAGTACGATATTTCAAAACATTGTCATCATATGAAACAGCTGTATTGAAAACAAACAACTTGACACAAAATCGGTGTACGAATTCAAATAAATATTTACAATAGATTTTATTGGTCCACTTGTTATCAAATTTTACGTAATAGTCATGCAAATCAAACATTAGCGATTAGCTGTATAATAGCTTTGAATATCATTTCAACAGTTTCTAATAATAGGGTCCGTATCTCAGATAATTGCCATCCCGCATAGACCCGGTTTCGTACACACTCACTGAATTAAATTTCAAAGGAAATGGTTTTCCCCATTTTTCTTATTGTTAAAATACTCCCATGGTCCCTAGTATAAAATTGACAAATAAATAGACCTTTCTGGAGTGTCAATCAAACTTATCAACTGACTAATCAGAACAGCGCTAGGAATACGCGTGCGTCTCACAAACACATGTGTTGTCCCACAAACGCACATGTTGGCGTATGCTTTAACACTGTCGTCTTGTGGTACCTTAGCAACAATATCTAAGGGGCGGGGCTTAGTGGAAAGGTCCATTAGACACTGTAATAAAGATCGGTTATGCCCTTTTATATAATATTATAGGCCTATCTGAGTATAGGCCTAATGTGTGTGAAGTACTGATTTGTTAATATCGAATGGAATTTTTACAAAACAAGGCTATCCTATATTAGATGATGTCGAATTAAAAACCAAGGCTAATAATATACAATAATTGGCCTATTATTTAATTAGGAAGATTGTAAGCCTATGAAGTGGGTGGGGTTGACATTTAAAAAAAATTGGAAGTAAAAATTTATGTCGGCGCGAAGGTGGTCTCAATAGATTGAAAATGGCCCCATCTTAAAACGGTTGAATACCATTACCAGGGGCCTAGCCTAGGCTATGTCACACGATCCGACCTTCTTTATGCACTGGTTTCTAAATCCAAACTGTGGACAATCTAGCCTAGCCTACTAGGCCTACTGCGGAAAAATGTGTCCCTCAATGATCCAACTGCTTGTTTTAAAAAAAACAAAAAGTTTTAACTAAAAAAAAAATGCAACTTACCAACAGCACACCCTGACTACCTTCTATCAATTCAAAAGTTTGAATGAAATAAAGATATAAAATACAACTTATATATTTATATGTGCTTGAAACCTTCTATTCTTAGAACGGGAATTCCCCAGTCTATAACATCAAGTAACCAATCAAAAAGCTTTAGCAATCATGCGACACGCGAACTACAGTCCAATGTGTGCAGTGCTAACTTGTAGCTAAAGTTTGGCCCGCTCCCTCTTTGGCATAATTTGGACCCTGTGCAGGAGCATGTAGCCAATGCTACGCATATTTCATGAAGGTGTAACATAATTTAGCATAAATTTAGAATGATGTAAATTTCATTATTAAAAAAAAAAAAAAAAAAAAAAACCAATTGTATAAAAAAAAGTCTTAGAGTGCCATTTCCGAGCATTTTGAGGTGGTATTTAAATTTTGTCCTCTCAACTTACGCGCCGCAAGTACTGCATACCCGACTGTCGTGTATCCAAGTACCAAAATGTTAGTTTTAAATCTAGGGCAGTCATGTAAGTATACATCCCCTATTTAAGTAGAGGCATTCTAGCATAAATCATAACTGACCATCATTGTATTCCTGGCCACACTGGCCATTTCCCTTGATATCTAAAAGAAACCCAATTTTCTTATACAGTAATCATAAACAGAATGTTAAATATTTAAATAGCACAAAATAATTTCATATTCATCCGATTTACTTCAGAGCATCAGCATGATTCATGACAGGAAACATTTGCAGACAATTTTGTGTGGGCGGGGACTGCTTTCGATATGGGGTCCAATGTGGGGAAAATTGTATGGGAAATAAGACAGTTCTAATACCTATTGTTGTACGGGTGTACGTGTTCTCTAAATAACAGTAGTAATATTAGAATTATCCAGCTACACATTAACAAAAATTAAATTTAAAATATGAAAATAATTTTCTGACTAACTGACCTTTCTCTTATTGACCAATTAAAGCATTCTCAACCAAATTGCTCAGACGAGATTTTTTTTATACCTTGTGTAGCGAACCCACCGACTGCAAATATTGATGATTTCAAATAAAAATAAAATTTGATTTTTGACCAATTAGCACACCAACAACCACGAAAAAGTAAAAATTCCAGAAAAAAATAAAAATTTTTCTTTATTTTTATTACGCCCTCTGTAGACTGGGTTCCAGACCCTAATCTTTTTCTTAATCAGTTGAAATGCTTAAGAATAAATCGATTTTGGCACAAATGGCGTTCCATATTACTTATTTGCAGGGCGTTCCATAGTATACCTTTTCTGGGCAAAAAAGTTTCTCAACATAAACTCACGCTGGTGGCGCTTTCCGAAATGCGCTAATATGTACTACGAAAAATCCATAAATTAGAGACTTGTGGCAAGTCTACGCCCTCTGCTGCCTTGAAATCTCCAAAGATAAGATATGTATATTTCTTCTTAATTATATAAATTTGAAGCTTTCAACCATCCTATTTTACATTTACCAATAAAATTTTATTTTTATTTTCTCCTCCATCTGAATATTTTTGACAAAATTATTTGCTAAATAAGAAAACAAAATTATATTTTAATTTTTAATTCCGCCCTCCTCCGATGATTTAAAAAAAAATAAGTATGCGAAACAAGAAATAAAAAAAGTCTTGCCTAACAACATAGCTTTTACATTAATTTGCTTACAATTCAGTAATTAGTATCTTTCAAAATTATTTTTAAAAATGGAGGAAAAAAGGAAAATAATATTAAAATTTTGGTCCGGGGGGGTGGGGAGGCGGGGAGAAAAACAATTCGTCGGGGAGAAAAAAAATGTATTTGTATTTTCATATTATTACTCTAAAATCAATTAAATAAGCGTTAGAAACCCCCAAAATTGTCATATTGTGGGACATATCCGAGGGATTTTTGGCGATGCCTGACCACGCCCACTTGTTTTCGTCAGGGACGTCGGTCCCCCCATTCCTGTCAGGAAAATCCTCGCGCCACCCCTGTCTGTTCTGATGGCTACTCTTCCTCAACAAGAGGGAAGACTTTTTTAGATGTGGATAAAAGAAACAGAAACTACAAATTCCAAATACAGTAATGTTTGAGCAAAATTTATTAATCCCATTTAAAAATAGAGACAATTCTATAATAAAATTATTCTTGAAATATAGAACGGGTAATTACTATTATTAACTTCATTATAATGAATTCACTGGCAGTGAAGTTTTCTAAATATTTAAAAGGTAAACACACAGACTGCAAGTATTAGATTTGTTATTATTTATATGAAATTGGTCTATACAATAAACAAACCAGATATTATAACATGAGAAAATAACATGTATTTAAAATGTTTAAAATATGACACATATGCCCATTTAGCATGTTATTGAAAAGCTTTAAATAGTTAAATACCTTTAGATGTACTGCCTGTGAAAACATTTATGAAAAAAAAACATTTAAAAAATAATTAAAAAAAACTGATTTCATTGCATGTTTAAAAAAATCAATAGGTTGTAAACTTTCAATGATGTCCAGATCACTATTCAAATTTAGTTTATGTTGATTTTAAAAGTTAACCCACTGAACACAGACAACACATCCTAAATAATGATGAAAACATAGAGAAAACACTTTATCTTTAGTTGAATAAAATTTGGTACTTGTACTATTTACAGCAAATAAGCATTAAATCTAACAATTGTTAAAAATATTTAAGTTTGAATGGCTTTGTATCATTTTCATGTTTTGTTTCAATACATTGAGACCTAGTTGATATTTTGTATACATACACTGTGTAATAAAACTCTTCATTTCAAGGCTATCAAGAAGGTAATACTTTTCAAAAGTATTAGATTTTTGGCAAGCATATTGTTTTTTAGATTAATGATACATCTACTTACAAATACAATATATGGATAATGAATGGTATGATTGAAAATTCCAACTCATATCTAGTTAACAGCAATTGTAAACTAGTGCACTTTGCCTGGTTAACAATGATATAATGGTGGGCTCTTAGGGGGGGGATCAGTACACAGTCCCAAAAAATAATACTCAAACCCCCCCAGTTTCTCCCTTCAAAAATGTTAAAAGCAGAAAAATTACATTCCAGTTTCCCCCCTCCGAAAATGTTAGAAGCAAAAAATCACATTCAAGTAGTTAAAAATCCCCTCAAATCCCCATATTTTGCAAGGTAGCAGCCCCTCAGCTAATCATCAAGCTCCCTCATATTTCCCCTTCACACCTTCAAGACCCCTAGATACCCCACTGTTGGCTAATAATAAAATAATAAAACACACACCACTAAGTAAACCCCACACCATATATATGAATTGATTACAACTGCAAGTACAGTATCTTCAGTGTCACGTATGAAAAAATATTAATGTAGGAATGTCTTTTTCTTAATTAAGGTACGTTCACACCGAATACGAATTCGGTTCGTATGGCTAAGGAAAAAAGAAAATTGAATCAGTGATAAGAATAGAGGTATACTAACACGAGCATTGAAAATGTTCTATGAAGACTGAATGCGGATTCTGTGTCGATCTACTTTTACACAGTAAAATTTTACAGTAACTTTACTCAATCCATCATAGAAATTCAAAAGGAAGGCCCTTTACATTATCAAAGTGAAGGTTGCCATAATAGTTAATAAAATATAGCGCCCTCTGGGACAAAAATGCACGACGACATAAATGAATCTACAAGTTACATCGAGTATACAGTGTTACTATTATTACATGGAGTACTGTTTAAAAATCTTATACCAGGCCATATACTATGATTCAGTTTAGAAATTGAACATTTAATTGACAAAAAGTGCATTACGACATAATTGAATCTGCAAGCCCATGCTGCAAGTTACATAAAATCTACACTGTTACTACCATTACAAAGAATAATGTCTAAAAACCTTATACCAGGCCATAATTATTCACTTTTTAAAATTGAACATTTAATTTAGTACAATATTAAAATGCCATGAGTATTAACTCACAGCCATATCACTAGTGTAAGCATTAAAACATTTCTATCTATTGTATAAGCAACTTTCACACTATTTCTTGACGGTTGTTGTACTCTATAAAGTAACTAATGTTTTTGGCAGACAATCAAGAAATGTGTGAAAGTTGAATATACAATAGAAATTTTCATAATGGTTTTGCAGTATGCAGGACAGTTGAATATAAAATATCAAAATGACAAATAAGTTTGTTATACTACAGAACCATAAGAAAATTGTATTCATTGTATATTCAACTTTCACATATTCCTTGACTGTCTGAACTACAGTTGTACACTATACATGAATTAACCACAGAAACCGTTAATTAATTAATCATTTCCACTTCTGGTGTTGGGTTGGATCTTTATAGTTCTGCACGCCATGCTGGGTCATTGTGTTGCGTGACGAGGCTCACACCTTCATTGTTTTCGTTTTCCAGAGCTGAGAAATGGAAAAAGATATGTTGAGTTACGGATCATGGTGCACATTCGCAAGTGAAGTAAGCCTTAGGATGAAGGCTGGGTAGGCCCCCTGCAGGGTCCAGGGGATAGAGCCCCTATGGAAGCATTCTGAGGCTGTATTTAATGGATTTCTGAAACCCATAATTCATAAAAATTCTATTCAAATTTCCACTCATTTGAGTGTTGTTAAGGACCTCAGAAAGTAGCGTTTTATGTCCATCGGTAGACCTATATTATATCATAGCATTTTGTACATACAGATCAATCTGCATTCACCAAAAGTAATCAAATTTTGTACCGCAGTTGTTAAAAATCAACGGTTAAAAGAGCTGACAATAAAATGCAATGATGCATAGTATTATTTGATAATTGGGAAACGATTTTAGTGAAATAATAGGTTTAAAAAGGTAGACCTTTTGAAAGTTGGGGAGGAGGAGTGCATCTGCCCCTTATGTACCCTTCCTGCCTACTAGCCTGTAAATTTGAGTACAGCATGTGGTTCAGTTAATAGACTTCCAATTCCAGGATCTTAGTTTCAAATGTTTCCCACATCTAAAAACTCCACTCTTATAACAAAATTTGTTGACAGAGTGTCAGGGGTCAATGACCAACAAGACTGGATGCATCAACCTTATTTAAAAACATGGTGTAATTTGATACTGCTGCATCACTGAGAACACCACATAATTTAAGACTAGAAACTTACCGGGCTCAGTAAGTTTAATGGCATCAAATTTAGCGAGTAAGTTCCTTAACTCATCATCATTATCAACTTGATGCCTTATTCCTTTGCTGCCTCCTTTTCTATTGCAGAAGTCGATAAGACTAAAACAAGAGATATAAAGAAATTGAAGAACAGATTAACAACATTATACTTTTAAGTGATGAATTTATATCAATCAAAGTATACAAGCCAGATGTAATTTTTCCATAATGAGGCTTGCCATTCCAAAACCAATTACCGTCGCTAATCATTAAGCTGACTGATTAGGGAGGCTTCGCACATGAAAGCGTACGGTTAGTGTGACGGATACATCATCATTTTGACATCATATGCCGGCTGCTATCCGCTAACTTGTGGACGACACGCATATCAAGCTCACTTCAGGTAAGTGAAAAACTTACTAGAAAGTAAAATTTCTAGTAGGATCTGCGTTTATTTTTTCACATTTTACATAAGTGTAAAAAATAAATGTATCTTTGAATATGTACGTGCCATTTGAAGACAGCAAATTATGATACGATGCGTCTCATTTTGGGGTATCAAAACGTCGGTGCTTTGACCTTGGTGGTGTCAGGATTTTGTGTAGGCCTAGGCCTACATGTAGCTAGGCAGTTTTGGGTCATAAACAATAGGGCCTATCACAAAATAACCAACACTTCTGGGCAACAAAGGAAATATTTTTCGGCTAAAATTTTTAATTTCCAAAACCTTACATATACTTATAAAACTTTGAGAAGCATGATGAGAGAAGAGAACAGCTACGGCCCTGGGCCTAAGCTACGCGCTGTGATTGCAAAAAACACAGTTGGCTACGAACCGTTACAGATAGCAAAACGTATGCGTACACGTATTCGTTTGCGTGCAAAACCTCTCTATTAGCCTAAGAGTGTGGCAGTAAAGAGAATCCATAACACTTTTACTCATGACTGTAGCAATATTAAATTGATTTCAGTAAATGACCCATCATTTTAAAGCTTACAATGTGGAGAATAAGAATATATTAAAAGTCAATTTTCCATTTTTTTTCATCACAGATGCTAGTTTTGGGATGGCAAGCCTGAAATATATTATTCCACCCAAAAACAAAAAAAAACGTGTCTGTATCTACATATAGCATACCTTTTCCAGTTTTCATCTCTGCTTAGCACTACAGGGTTTCCGATAACAATTAATAATGCCTTTGCACGAGTGATCGCAACGTTGAATCTCTGTTTAAGACAAAATGTACACAATTTAAAAATAATATGCATCTTAATTAATCGTATTAATTCTTTACTTCTGTTGTAAAACTTTAAGCCTTCTTGATGTCAAATTATCATAATTATATTATATATTGTATTTTTATCAACTTACATTCTTTTGATACAATTATCAAGGATTTCAGTTCAAAAAATTTACCTGTTTCTTTATTAAGTAAATTTGAGAAGACATCTATTTGTTTGAACAAAGCGGAATTAGATTATAATTTTTTTATACAATTATATTATAATGTTGACTGTAATAAGTTAAGTCACATTTTCTAAATAATGTTTTGTTTAGATCAATATAATTTGGGACTCCTGTCGGAAAGTTTCTTTTGTGTATTTTAGCAAGGGACATCGAAGAAACGCCCTGAGTATTCCATTATAATAACTTTTGTCCTCTTCTGCCATCAACGTCAACTTTTGTAATATAATGATGTAACTATCTATCTCACATACTGGAACAAAGTTCAAAATACAAATAAAATTCAATGATTGAAAGTGATTGAAATTGGTTTCTAAGTGACTCTGAATCCATGCACTATGGTAGGGGCACTGACTTTAAGAGCTAATTTCAACAAACAAAAATCTGATAGAAGCAAAAAACTTGCCTTCGGGTTGTCAAGGAAACCAAGTTTGAAATCCTTGTCCATTTTCAGATAGTCTTCATTATTACTACGTACGGTTGATATTATAATGACTAGTCTCTCCTGCCCCTGGAATTCTTCGACTGAGCCCACTTTGATTTTTTCGAAGTTACGCTTCTTAAGGACTTGCTGAATCTTTTGAACCTGATTATTTAAAAAAATGTAAGATACTTTATACAAAAACGCCAGATGTTTTACACAAAACTATTTAAAACAGAATATACCATAACTAAAATGTTAGTCTAACATATACAGACTAGGCTAAAATACGTTCACCGATCATGTGAAAATTGCTATAAAATGGCATCTTCTCGTGGATGTGGTTTAGCAGTTAACGCAGAGGCTGGGGTTTAAAGTCCCTTACTGTTCAACTTGCTTGCTGGGGTTGTTGTTTACATTTCTCTCTTTCTGCTCAGGTGTGTAATTGAGTACCTGTAGGATAACAATGCTTTATATGTACTGGACTGAACAATTTAAGATACCACCTTGAGGGGAGAAGAGGAGGCTACACGTAGTACATACTTTAAATTTTGATCCAAAAGGTGCAATATGAAAACCAAACATTATTATTGTTCAAGATCCTATAAGTACACTGCTCTCATTTGAAACACAAGAGCCTAACCTGTTGGTTTTAATATATTTTTTTACCTACACTCCCTAAACCATTGTGGCTACACCCTTCGTCTACCAATTCGCTCCAAATTGATGAACTACTTTTCATCTGTGCACCCCACATACATTTCCAAAGTGACTGGTAAATCAAAAAGAAGTACTGTATTAATAGTGATAGTAGTACTGAACTTAAATTAAACTTTGGTTCTTGGAATTTAAATTCAGAAAAGATATACTTTGCTGATATTTACCTGCTTACGATAGGGTGAGATGACGCCAATATCTGACTGCTGCAACTTCTTTCCCGAATACTTTCCCTCCATCAGCTTTTTAATATATGTAAGAACAGCATCACATTCTTTGGTGTTGAAAAATGATGGACTGTTCCCCTCTCTTTCATCTTTACCTTCAACACCATGGAAGATTAATGGAAAGTTCTGCAACAGATAAAATATTTATATTACAAATAGTTTTTTTTTATTGTATAGGCATTGTTAATATTTTTCTTTTAATGATGAATATTTTTTATTATACTTTTGTATTCTAATTGTAAAGATAATAAGTTAAGTGTTCTAGTTAATAATAAAAAATACTTTGATTATTTTTAAAGGGTTCTTAAATAAGTGGTCTCACAAATCTATGGTAAAAATGATACGGAGTGAGGCTCAGTTAGGGGTCTAAGGGGTGAATCCCTGCCACCCCCGCCCCTTCTCGTTGCTACTGGAAACAAGCTTCTTACCTTCTTTGGTAGTTCTTCCCATCTGCACATCGTCTCTCTCATAAGTATGTCAGCTTTGGCCTCTAGTTCGTTATCGTAGAACAGCTCATTTGGCAACTTCAAGATTTCAGGATGGGATCTATAATTCTGTAGCAGCTTTGTCAACACCTTTGGATTATAATGTGGTTCCTCCTCTTTACGTGCATACAATGGGTTGTCTGTCATTAACCTCTCCAGGAACGATGTAGCTGAAATAAACATTGATTAACAATAATAATGTTGGAGAAATGAAAGCCCTTGTTATTTGATTATTAGCTGTCATCTCTAGTATCTAAGAACATAATTTTATTCAATTACTGTCACGCCAAATGAGGTTATGTATTCACCTCTGTCTATCTGTCTGTATGCTTGCAAGATTATGCAGGAACTAATAAAAATGGATCATTGGAATGGATTACAATATTCAAAGAAAGAGATTAAATTTTGGGAAAAAAGAGACTCAAAGAACTTGTTCAAATCTTATACATGGCCTCCATATTGTTGGTTATTCAGGCACAGATTGGACAATAATTTCCCCATCATACACGACCGGTGTATTGTTCAGTACTCAGGTGGGCAGGCGGAGGTATGCAGTTATGGAATGACTGCTCTAGTTAGTGTTGAATTTACATTTGTTAATATTTTTCTTCATTAATAAGTTAACTTCCTGCACATTTAATACCATTAATATTTTTGCTTCATTCTGGTAATACTGTTGAAAAATTATATTTTTCAACAGTTGATTTTTGTTTATTTTTTATTAATCTAATTTAACCATACCTAAGCCGAACTTAATGGCCATTGGCGACCTCAGTACTGGTCCCAGTTGTTTTGGGTCACCGGCAAGCACAAGCTGACCTCCTTTGGAATTGTTTGGGTTCAGCAGGTTGGAGACAGCTATGATAGCTTCTGGCTCCTCGGCATGTCCAGCTTCATCAATGAAAACGTGAGTAAAGTGGTTGATTGGAAAGTAAGCACTTGCAAGTCTGAAAGAAAAAATGTAATATAATAATAACAACAAAAACAATAATATAATAAAAGTATCAGTAGCATTAATACAAAAAGAATAATATTATACATGAAATAACAACATTATTTACAACAAAAATAATAATAATTAGGAATGTTAAAGTGGCCTTCTATCGGGTGGCGCTGCAATGCGGCTGCCGTGGGTCCACAGTTACCCAGCCCAAATTTCCAGTGTATTAAATTTGAGGACAAAGTAAAGAGTATAATATTATATACAATTAACTGACCTTCCAGCTGTAACTAGTGTAGTCACTACTACTCTGTATTGTTGTATTTCTTCGATTACTGGAAATTGATGTTCACTAGCCAGAGTATTGTAATTGCAAATATTTGTAGGTTCCTGGAATGAAGTAAAAATACAGAACTAATTATTATTATTATTTAAATTTCAAATATCAAAACCAAGCTTATCAAATATTTTTCTAAGATAACTTTGTCCTCTGCTAGTCTCAGGTCTACTTAAATATTGTGTTAATTGTATAATGTACAATGTTTGTATTATTTCCAGTTACGAGAGCAGCTTAACTCAGTTGTCTAAACTGGCAGTAGCCACCGTGTCTGCACTGACCTGTCGCGACCTGTTGGTCTCCGGTTCAATTCTCATCACTGAAATGCAAGTTTCAAAAGTGCACTGTCTTTCGGATATGAGGTTTAAGTCGTTTGTCCTGTGTCAAATATAGGCCGTGTGCACCTTAACACATATTAGGGAACTGTCTCCCAGTGTACTACCAAATTAGATTCTTCTCAAAACAGTAATCAACAAAGTCAAAAACAATACGTTAATGGGGGCTAGGTATTCTCAGGTGTTGTCTCTTTTTAAAAAACAATTGAAATCACATCTCTTTGATACAGCTTACTCATAATTTTTTCGGCCATTTTATTTAATTATTTTCTTTCCTAATTGGGTCGTTTTCCAGGTATTGTCGGGGAATGGGTTTGCATGGTGATCCTGTGAATTATGTTTCCGGGGATGTCGATCGGCTGGACCTCAAAGTGTGGAAGAACGGCACACTGACTCTACCCTAATGGCGCTTGGTCTCTCACCCACTTTGCTTGCTTGCTTCACTTCATTGGTCTTTTTTTATTGGCACATATAGACTGCTGTATTATACAAATCAATTGATTGCTTGCTTGATTGATTGATTGATAATAATAAATAACTTATTTTTATTCATCAATGATTAACATGGTCATTATAATTAAAAAGAGAAAAGGTAGAATTTTATGAAATACACGCACCTTAAGTTCTGCTTCCACTGTGTTCCAACCCCGGTATTTGGCATTCATACGGTAAATGGTCGACCGTGCAATTGGACCCTTTTTCAACAGCCTGCAAGCTATGAGGTCTGCAGCACTGTTTGAAGGTGCGCAAGCTAAGATTGTACTGTCACGCTGATGCTTGTAAACCTAAAAGACAAAGAACAGATTAATTAAACTTTTATCTGATTTATCAACTTGTCACTTTGGCTTGAATTTGCCCCACCAAAATGCATTAAAAAAAATATATATATATAGCCATGCAAAAGGAAACACAACGACAACAACGATAACACTTGTATGATAGTGTTTGTGAATTATTCTCCTCTTTTATATGTACTTTTATCCTATCCAATCACAGTTTATCTTTCTAAAGTTTAAATTTTTGTAATATGCAACATATTTAATACCTTTTTTCGTTGTTCCTTTTGTGTTTGTTCCATCTTGTTTTGCTTTTTTATGATCCTAGAACAAATTACTTTTTATTTTTTTAACTGGTGGAGCCAGCCTTAAAGCCCTATGGGCTTATTTGACCATGTAGTATGTGTCCCCATCCATTACTGTTTGGCTTCTATAGACAAAATTGCTTTTTGTCTAAACATCATTTCTTTGTTTTGTTTCAACTTGTATGCATTGTGTGAATAAATGTGCATTTGAATCTTATATTGTCGGACTTCAGTTCTGTTTGCGAAATTGCAATTAAAGTGAAATTTCATCTGATACTAATAATGATAATATTGAAACAAACATTGATTGTGTTTATGAACTGACATAAGTCCCAAAAAATATAAAGTACACACCTGTTTGATGGCTTCTACAATGGTCACTGTCTTTCCTGTACCTGGCGGGCCAAACACAAGATATGGGGCTGGCCTTGACGCTCCTTCGGCGATGTGCCTAACTGCTGCACGCTGTTCAGCATTGCTCTCAAGTGTACGGTCGAAAAGCCTTAATAATTAATGAGAAATAACAGCTAATGATTTGGGAATTAAAAATGTTATTCATTCAATATATGTATTAAATTGCACTACTAGCCTTCATGCATGTTTTTTAAAGTCACTACAATGTCTCCTAATAGCATTAATATTCATTCCTAGTGCTTGAAAAAAAAAAACAACAATGCTCATTGTTAACCTTGTTAAAAAAGCAAATACCTTCAACCACCTCGGTTTGGGTCTGCATCCTCATCACTTGGCCCTAATCATGTTGGGTCTAAGATGCATATGCCTGGAATTTTCCGGGGCAAATGCCATGAGCATATCCCTAAAGCATTACTTCCATGCATGCCTAGAGATGTTTGGCGATGTTTCTACTCACTTTCTGAATGTTATTTCAGCTAATTCTAAGCATTTTCTGACATAACCTCCTCAAAATAAAAATTGTAGGCATTTGTCTGACTGGATAGGTTCCACACAGTTTGTGCAGTTTGTGGAATAAGATAGGAATTTTGCATTGAAAGTGGTATGATGTAATGATTGTCATATGAATTATATTATTTAAAAAATGAAATTCTCTTACGTTATTGCAGGATTGCACAGTGGGGTAGCTCTTGCGGCGGTTCCTTCATCTGGGAAAAGGACGGGTGTGAGTCCTTTAGGTATAGCCTGCTTCACTGCGCGGTGTTGAAGCTTCAAAGGCAGTCGGTTGAATGTGAAGTCTATATCAAACTTCGAATCCTTTATAAAACCTTTCACTAGGCTAAAATTTAAAAAAAAAATGAATTTATTAAAAAAAAATCCTACATGAAATGAAAAATATTGTTTTCGCTTGGTTTATAATTTAAAGTTTTACACATAGGAGAGTTATAGCTTCGTTAATTTTACACTTTAAAGACTGGAAATTTAATACAATTTTCATAGTCCTGGATCAAAGAGTATAAAATAGAAGGAAGTCAAACTGTCTCGAATTTGCATGCATGCAATAAAACACTACCATGAGCCAGAGGGCACCCTATAAAAATTTGAATAGAGTTCATTCATTTCATGCTGATGTGCGTTCACTACGATCAACTTTTAAACTTATATCTTCTTATTGAAGGATGCTCTCTAGTCTTTGATAGTACTTTTCGAGATAAGATTCCTTTTTGAAGAAACCTAACAGTCGGACCTAATGCTATCCTATTCTATTATATACTGTTTCCTGGCATTAACTGTTAAACTAGTGGAAAACATCTAATAAGGATATACTTTTTTTTCTCACTAATTGAAAATCAATAATTTATGTGATTCTTTGAAATAAACAAAGATTTACTTGAACTTTAGAGGTTTTCTTTCTCAATTTTTTTTAGCTGGCAGTATATTTTTAATATGACTACTCATTCAACTAAAACCTACAAATAACCCCATGACCTTACCTTGAGTGGAAACCTAAAACAAGTTCTTCCATTTCCACACGATGGACATAGCCCTTGTAACGTTTGTTTGGAATGTCCTTCGGTGATGCCCACAAGTGATCCCCTCTCAGTACTGAGGGACGATTCTCAGCAAGCCCAGGGACCTGAAAAAAAATAAAAGAAATATCCTGAACAAAGGGAAATATTGAAACCAAATAAAATAATGGACCAAAAATGTTATCTTATAAACTTTAAAAGTTAATTAAATTTCTTTTGGATACCACAAGACAATAAATTGCAATCTCTCAGGTGACATTTATAACATATAACAGCAGACACCACAACTTATCCTTATCCTCGAGTGATATGTCCAACATTATAAACATCTTAAAAATTGATAAATTTATCATATGTAACAAGAAAGAAAAACACATTGGAAGAACACCATATTATTTATATTTATTTATTAGACATTTTTTTAGTTGCTGTGGTAAAGATTGGTAGTTTGCACTCTAACATGTTCATTATCAAAATCATAAATTCCACTGACCTTTAACCTAAGTGATTTTCTATCCCTGTCTAGTGTCATTGTCGCATTAATCATGCTGTATTTCAGAATATCAACATTCATCTGCAGTTCCTCAATATGTAACAATGTAGAGAATCTTTTTGCGTAATTGTCAAATGCCAGTCTCTCCCCCAACTCTTCTCTGCAAATATTTCATTTTTATGCATTTATGTAAGACATTAAGCATAACAGTACAACACACACAACATGAGATTCCGAGTATCACATACAGGGTATTTTTATTATATATTTTTTTATATATATTTCTTTTATACCATATTTATAGAGGGTGACCCTTAATCAGCAGGCAAGCATCTTAATCATCAAGCTACATCTCATATATATTAATTAAAACACACCCACATATAACCTTGTTTATTCACTGATGTGAAAGTTGGTATTTACATCAATAATAAGAAACTATTCCAATTCTAGGATTTGAATCTTCATGTAGTTTCATTTTCATTAATCTTTGTTTCAATCTTTTTTCTTCCATTGCATAAGTCCACTTAATATTGTTTTAATTCGTTGGAAGAAGATTAACTATTCAATTCGGAAGAAAGGAAACTTAACTTAATTTTTTATAAAATGAAAAGAATATATTTTAGGCATATTATCAAACATAATAAATGTTTTTATTTGTGCAATGAAAAGGACATTTTCATTTGTTGAAATAGAAAACTGTCTATTTAAATTGGCTCCACAATTCTTAGAATTAGAGAATGGTCCATTTATCTTGGCTCCACACATCATTGAATGGAACAATCAATCTTTCAACTCATCCAAAATATTCTCCCTATTGTGCTAATAAAAAACGGGTAATATTTATATCTGTACTTACTCTATTTCTCCGGTGTTTCCTCTATTCATATTAGATCTTAATTCTGGTGGAACAGGGCATGCATCCGGTTGAACCATCACTAAACCATCAGACGAAGCACTTGAAAAAGAAAGAGTAGTTTCAGTTACATTATCTATCTTATTAGAAAGTAGATAACTTTCAGTGGCGGCTCCAGGAATTTGAAATAGATGTAGTCCATGGAGGGACATTCAGAAATAGAAGGTCTACAACACCTAAGCTAAGCTTCCACCATGGTTGGTGGGGCTGAGGTAAGAACATGTATAATTATGGCACTTCTAGTTGGTTGGAAATGGCACTCTCGGACTTAAATTTGAATATAATTATTTTTCTCCTTATTTTTTTATGTTTTGAAAAGATTTAGTGGGTGGGATCGGGGAGGTGGGGCAGGTGGGTGCCCGGGCTGGCTTTGACTTTAATGTCCGAAGCAAAACAGAAAATGTGCTTCTCATTGGCAACAAGACATACAATTACTTAGAAGAAATTACAGCTAAAATAACTTATATTGTTCAAATAATACGCTCCACACAAAAGGTAACCTGAGAGCAGATAAACTGCTGGTAAACAATGTGTGTTCTGAACCCATAGGCTTTGTCAGCGAGTCGTCCAGCCATCTTTTGGACGACCATAATCAACACAATTCTATTCCTCGACCTGGAGGGGGG